TTCATTTCTTGAATTCAATCTTATTTAAAAAAAAAAAAAAAACTCAGTTGTATTTTGATTGTATTAATCAGTTTGTGCTTATTAAGCCTGTTCAAGCATAAAAATCTACAACTTTTTTTTTGCCTGACTTCAAGAGCAATGCTGTTATTTGCCAGTTTTTATTTTTTTCACCTTAAACACTAACAATCTTTTCCCCCATTAACAAATGTTAATTAGACTGTAAAGCATTTTTAATTTTCAACTAAATATTGCCTGCTTTGCTTATTAAAATTTTACCTGCACTAATGCACCTGCTTATACCTACAACCACTGCCAAGTTAATTCAAAAACATCCTTCTGTCTTTACACATTTTCTCTATTGTGTAAGATTTTTTTTCAAGGTCTTTAACAATCTTTCACTGCACAGATAAATAGGTCATTAGAAATTACTTTTACAAGTAATATGGGATTTTGTTCTACACCTTTAGCAGGAGTTATTTAAACTTGGAAAACAATAGACAAATAGATGGAAAACAAATGAAGAGAGGTTATTTGCATATTTGTTCTACAAAATTTTGTTTGTCAAAAATATCTCTTTTATCAATATTCATTATGCAATTCTGAAAATATATCTATAAAATCAGGAGTTAAATCTATTAAAGAAAAACTAATATATAAGTTAAATTATAAATATATAGGTTAAACTTCTCTTCTCTTTAATTTTCACTTGATTTTAGATTTTTAAGGTTTTAGTTTTGGATTAGTAATTACAATGATCAAAAAAAGGTCACTTATGGAGTTAGTGACCCTAGCTATATTGCTTAACTCTACAGATTTTCAATATAGTGAGTAATTACAATATACATGGTAGCCTTTGGTTCATTGTCTTCTGATTCTCAATATTACTTTTTTATTGTTCCTAATACTTTACTTTTTCTTTTTCATTCTAGTATGAGATTATTAAATCAATAATTGAGCAAATTTTTACTGCTCTTACAGAATCATTGGATTGACAACGTTAGCCTGAATACTTACACAAAATCTTTTGAAAGCTAAAAAATTTGCTCTTGTTAATGTTACTTCAAGGAGAGAAATAAGTTTTTGGTATTTAGTTTTGGTTAGTTTAACTTTGGCTGATATATTCTTTTATGTTATAAAAGCTTAATATTACCAAATAGCATTGCTCTCTTTTCTTTTTCTTTTTTTTCCCATCTAGCATATGAAAATCTACCTGATGTATTTTTTTTTTTTTTGATTATTTTTTTTTTTTTTTGACCATTTCTAAAGTGTAAACCTGATTTTTACAGATAGAAGTTTTGTTAAAACTTCATGATGCCACCAAAACAAAAACCAAAGGTGTCTAAGCAATCAAATAAAAATAAATCAAAGACCTTGGAAAAGTGTCGTCGAAAGAAAAACAAATCATTTGGAGAAGAAAAACAGTCAAGAAAGGGTCGGCCACGAAAGGACAGTTTCCGAAAGACAAAGAAAAGAATAACTCACACAAAAGAAGGAAGAAGAGAATTCAATTCAAGGAAAAGTGTGCTTACAGTTTTAGGTAGAGCAAGAGAAACTCTAGAAGAAAAACTCGAAAAGCAAGCTGAGGATGAGAATCATCTGTTGGAAGTTCAGCAATCAGAAAACAATGATTATCGAGAGGGAAAACTGGGAAGGACATCAGAAGGGTTGGCATATACAGCTTCATGGAAAACTGACAATCATGAAGACAAGAAACAGAGTAAAAGGTCAGACTAGCCAGAATGGTTGTCATCTTCATTGTCGTCATAGCTGTCGTCATGTGTTTTGTGAAGATAATTTTTTTTTTTCAAATTAAACATTTTGTTTTTAGCTGTATTAGTGATTCAAATCAGAAACCTCTTAGTTAAAAATTCTAAAATAGTTTTTGTCAAACTTGTCACATTTAGCAGTAAAAAATGCTGAAATTTATTGAGATTAACACCATTTTTTTGTCACTAGTTGTCTATCAGAAAACAGACAAATTAAAACCAACATGTGCAAAAATGCTAAACCTTTAAAAGAATATACTTGCATATTTTGTTTTTTAAGGTATAACATAAGGTGCAATATTTATATAACAGTGGCAAATATCCTATTGCATATGCTTTTATGAATATGTGAGCACAAATGTGTGTGTGTGTTTTACTTATATATATATATGTATATAATGAGTGTGTCTGCATTATATATTATATGTATATAATGAGTGTGTCTGCATGCACGCGTACTCACAAAGTCAATAATGAATGTTTTTGTTTTGTTTTGTTTTAATTAAGTAATCTTACATGTATGATAAAAAATTCATATAAAAGTCCTATAGTCAGACTTTCAGTCCAGCCATCTTTTAATCCAAGCAAAAAACTACTGTCCTTTTATTGTATTTATATCAATTTCTGTCTTTTAAAAGGGAAATTAGGTGTATATTAAGTGAATCCGACATTTGGAATTGTTATTGTTTAATTTGGACCCTGTTACCTTAATGTTTGATAAGCCAAGCTTTACATTTGATGTAGTTTAGAATCATACCAGTTGGACTATAGGATTTAGATCTATATTTTGAAATTAACAATTTAATTTTTCAATTATAAATTCTGTAACACTGATGCTACATTGTTTTTCAGTAACAGTCTATAGCATATTTGATATTTTTTTTACAAAAATAACTATAATGATCAAAACTGAATTCATTATGAAATTCACATTTTTTCCTGTTACTGTCTATATTGCAAAAAGTTTTCCTTTTTTTCTATACAATTTTTATTTCTGTTATATTTTTTGATGCCCATAACTTTTTCTCTCGTCATCAGAGAAAACAAAGGAAGCTCCTAATGTTGATCAGAATTGGATTTAATAAGCAAACATATTATTCTTAATGCCTTGTGTTTTTACCCCCTGTTATAAGCTGATTCTATTAATCATTAGTTTCAGTGACTTTTAAGATTTTTTAGAATCTTTAATATAGCATATTTAACATAATGTATTTTCTGACTATTTGCTTGCTTAATACAATAGACTAATTCACTTAAATGATGTTTCTTGTGTTGTTTTGATCACCAGAATAATTAAAGACCATAACCAGGACAAAACATTTCTAAACTAACAAAGAATCTAAAAAATTAAATTTATGAAGAAATACTTGAACCATTAAATGAAATTCACTTCCTTATGTTCATAAGTTTTCATCTTAAGATGCTTGCTGCTTTTACTCTTTATTTCCTTCTAACCAATTCATCTACCAATAAGACAGTCATGTAAGCTAGTAAACCAGGGTTTCAATATATGAATTTACAAGAGGAAAATTTATTCTTTGTCTTAATCTGTAATTTTATATGCAGTGGTTTAATTAGCATAAAATAAAAGAAATTAGGATTGTAGGTAAAAATAATTTTCTTGTCTTACCTTTTTGTGTACTGTATCTTTTTTGCATTATGATGCTCTTTTGTGATTGCTAAAATATTTACATAGGAAAAGTTTTAAAATTAATGTGGATCTGGGACTTTGTTATGTCATTATTTATTGAAATATATATTGGATGGTGATAAAAACTCAATATACATGACCTTAATTCACTGCATATTACATTGTTTTCAATGCATACTGTTTTCTAGTGTTCTATAAGTCTTTTGATGATATCTTGCATTTGTAAATGCATGAATTATTTGAACTAGGAACTCGTTTTATGCATCACAATAAAACTATATTATTGTGACATTTTTAAGAAAAATCAGTAATAAATAAAAGTATTTCTTTTTCAGCGCACCCACATTGCTACCAAATGTGACCCGAGTTCATGATTTAAAGCGGGTTTAAAGGCAGTAATACATAAAAGTACATGGGTTTGGACATATTTTGAAAGCATATTGAATAGCTATATGCAAATGAATTAAATATATTTTAAACATCCAGTAATACGTCCTTCAAACAGAAACAGGTTTCTGAATTTGAATAATATTTTCCTTAGAAGCTTTTTTTGTTGTTGTCTTACTCACTAAAGCATTCATTTTTTATTTGCCTTTTGCCTTTTCTTTTTATTTGCTTATTCTTTTGTTTTTACTTAAGCTTTCACTGTTTCTTTCATTTTTTTTTTGTTTTAAGTTTGTTATATTTATTTTTCAAGTGGGCTTTAATATTTGTAGCATGTTTGTAAGCAAGAATATTAAAATTCTTTCTCTTGGAAACATGTTTTTTTTTCTTTCTAGGATTTACAGTATCTCATTACTTTTTCAAATATTTATTCAATATTTGTAAAAAAAAAAATAAATCTACATAGTTTCATGTCAACTTTCTAAAACTGTAAATCCTTTAAAAATAAACTTTTATTCATAAATGAATTTTTCATTTGATGAAAGAATTGGTTATTTAATGTATTATGATGAAATCTTGTTGGTAGTTGAATGTAAAAAAAAAATAAATTGTAGGAAAATTTGTTATTGTGGAACTTACCAGTTGCAAATGATCATGTTGGATGTACACATTTCTAATTTAATTTTAACAGTATGTAAAACATTTCATGCTAAAAAATTGATTTTCACATCTTAATTCATAAATGACTAGAACCTTTTTGGTTCTTGTGAATGAGTAAATAATTCTTTTATAATGAACTTTGCTAACTATTTTCTTTCTCAAAACCACTGGACTTTACTCATATAGAACAGAAAATAATGTGCCTTTCTTTCTTGCCACAATCACATATCCACTTAATTGGCAAAACCTGAATGATAATGAACTTATATTAAAAATCAATAATAATTTTAGTTTTACTATAATTGTTTAAATGATGTACTTTAATGTATGTATATAATGTTAACAGACCTATTGTTATAAATAAGATACCAACCAAACACTAGATCAACCTGTCTTTAATACAGATAAGAATACTGCAATCATCAACATTTATTGATACATGCCTATAAAAAAAAAACCCTATTTTGCAAAAGGATTATATTTCTATACTTAATAAACATATGCAATTTTCTGTTTTGATATCATTATCCTTTTTGTAGGTTACCATCGCCCCAGCAGTCGCCTAAAAAGGCTACATTTTCAAAAGTGAGCAGGAAAAGAAAGAGGAAAGAAGATTCTTCTGGTTCTGATATTAACCAATATCACTGTGAGTTAACTGCCATTTCCTGTTGAAACTTTTAACTACAACTCACATTTCTCTCTATACTAGAGATGATGACACACATTCTCTGTCTTATGGAAGAAAATTTCTCATTACATACGAAACAGTTGGACTTGTTAAACTGGAAGATTGACTACTTTGAGTCGCCATATTGTCAATGCCACACTTATTTAGTACAGTATCACCTAAATTAGATTTGAATTGTTTATCTATTTGGCTGAAATATTATGATTTGAAAAACTAACTCTTTATAAAAAAAATATCTTTTGAAAAATACTCCTTTATCATTTAAATTAGGTACATCCACTAACTTGCAATACTTAAGGATAAAATGAATTTTAAAAATTAAAAATCTTTCTTGAAGCTTTCATTTTAGCTTTAGTTGAAAGGTAAAAGATTAAATTTACTATTTCCAGTAAGCCAAATACTCTGTAGTGTATTTCAAAGAGAAATTATATTGATTGGAATTGATTCACGTTTTTTTTTGGGGGGGGGGGCTAAAAATAGCTGATTAACACCCTTTTTTAGTCCTGTTTTTACAATGTAATTTTCTTTATTAAAAAATCTTCCAAAAATAAATTATATTTTGCTAAAACTTTATTTAAGGAATATTAGCTGATTTAAAGTAAAATTAATCTGATTTGAAAAAAGTATTATTTACTTTAAGTTTAAAATAACACAAAAATAGATTTTTAAAACAAAACAGTAATAGTGATTACATACTCATTATGTGATTGATGATTGATAACATGTTCTGATAAAGTGTTGACAGGTTTATTGTTGTTCTACAGAGACTTTATTTGTTAAAACTTAAAATTTAAGAAAATGATGGGTGAACACCATTTTTATATAATTTTTAAGTACTCAGTAATCTTAAAAATGTTGGGAAATATTTGCCGTAATCTAATTTTAGGAATGTTGACTTTAAATTTACTATAGTCATCAATTGTATTTTCTGATAATATATATGGTCACCCATAATTTCAAAATGGTCACATTTATACACATAAAAAAAATTGAAATTATTTTAAAAGTCTGATGATTTGTATTAAGCTTTTCAATTTTTGATTAGTAAATATAGTCTTCACTTAATTAATAACTTAATGCAATCAAAGTTTCGAAACAAATTTTAAAGATTTTTGAAACTTTATAAATTATAATTAAAAAGAAAAAAATGAAAACAATTCTCATAAAAATTCATTATTCATCAACTTTTTCTTAAGACTGTCTTCATATATTATTTATAAAAGCAATTAAAAGCTTATCTAATTAAATAATGTCACAGTTTTATTGCATTTTTTATTTTACTATTTGGAGCAGATTTTCAGTAAAAACAGTAACTATTTGAAAAAAAAATGGGTGATTTACATTCTCCTAAGAGTCCTGTTTTAACTAATAAAACAAAATTTGCGATCAGAATTTTATTTCTCAAAATTTCTTGAAGTTCAATAAGTTGGGGCATAATGGATGTAAAAGAAAAAATATTTTTACCAAGATTTTCTAAAAATAATTTCAAAAATAATTTCATTCATTTATATATGTGTCCTGAAAGTTTCATGAAAATCCAACAATTATTTGATTTTTGAAAGAATTTCCAAATTAATGTGTTATTTTCCCAGAAAAAGGCTCTAAATTTTTCAGTCAGCTTTGTTATACTGCTGGCAAAAAAGAAAAGATATTTAACCAAAATTTCAAACGTGTTAGACAGGATTAAAAAATTTAGAAAAATAATTAAAAAATACTTTGGTCTTTCCTTTAAATAATAACAAAAGTTTTGATGATAAATCTTTGTTTTTCTTAAGTTTTAGGCCTTTTTTCATCATACTATTTTCTCAGCAAAGTGGAGGTACCTAATTTAAATCTATCCAATTTTGCATTTATTTCCTTAGGTGCTCCTCAAAGGACTGGCCTTGGACCATACTTGGATTAATATAATGTTTTCTTTATTCATCATTGAATTCTATACTATATTTTATAGCTATTAGTATTATCTGAAGTCCTTTCTGCTAATATCTTATATATTTACAGAGATAGTAATGGATTTTTATTAATCCAACAGATTTTTATCAGTTTAAACATTATTTTTAGTAGATACTCATATTTGAGTAGTCGCTCCATCTATTTATTAAACAGTATATTTATTTAATTTCGTCTATCAGCTTGAATATTCAAAAAGTCTTACAGAAAAATATTTGCTCTCAGGCAGGATTTGAACCTGCATTCCCTTGGACCAAGGAAACCATCATTAGATCAGACATACTTTCTGACTCAGTCATAAAAAACATTTGCCAATCAAACAAGGTCGGAATAGTGCCGGACTGACATTTGTATTTCTATACTCTGATAATGTTACTAAATTTGTATCTCAGCTCTACATAAAAATTATGCTTGCTCATTTACATTGTTGTATATGTCAATTTTGTTCCTTTGTTCCATTTTTGGCAGATACTTATGTAATGAAGCTGTTTGATCGAAGTGTTGATCTGGCCCAGTTCAATGAAAATACACCCTTGTACCCAATATGCCGTGCTTGGATAAAAAATCAGCCTCATAATCACTCCAACCAAGAGCGTTCACCCAGCCCAGACTCTGATATAGATGTCAAAGATAAGGTAGTTATTTATGCTTATTGCAGATATGGTTCACTGGTATTCCATATGTCAGTAGGGCCCACAATCACCTACACTTAAGGATATTTGAATTTATATTTAAAAAAAAAAAAAAAATGATATAGTAATGGAAGGTTCTAAAGCACAATATTTAGAGAAAATGGCAAAATTGTCAGGTATGTATGTGGTTAAAAAAGTGATGTCTAAAAATTGTAAAGCCAACTCTCCTGTATCTGTCTATCTATATTTCTTAGATGAGGTATTATGTACCTTATTTACATTATTTTGACTATTGTCCTCATCTTTGTTGCCATATTTATTTATTTATTGAAGAAGCCCGGAGCGTACAACGGCCGAAACGTTGTAATAAATATGGCAACAAAGATGAGGACAATAGTCTGAATAATGTAAATAATGCCAACTCTCCTGTGTCTTAAAGTAATATTGTTGCAGTTGCATATTAAATCCTATTCTCTGTAAATACTATATATATTAAAATAACTCCAAAAGTAATGTTCTTTAATGTTAATGAACTCTGTGCATACTACAAAAAAAATTCTGTGGCATTGAATATCATCTTGTCTCTATAATATATGTGCTGTAAAAAGTTTGTTTTTTTTTAATATATCACAATTTCCATTTAATCAACACAAAATGGAAACATTTAAAATGAATCTTAAATGTTTAAATTCTACATGCTGGGATCATACAATATTACCTCTATTTTCTTTTGCAGAATATACACAAAAACGGAAATATCTATCATTTGCCTCCACCAATTAAATCAGAGAAGGATCAATGTTCTAAACCACGCATTCCTTCCCCACTTCCACAGACAAATACAAGAATAGATATATATGCTGTAAGTTAATTATCTTTCATGAATGTTTTATAAATGTTTTTCCCTTTTCTGCCTGGACAAATTTTCATTTTCAATTTTATAAGACATAACAGCAAATTTGGTTTGCATTATTTGTGTCGTCGTTTCTATTCCTGTTATACTCCCTACAACCACATCACAACTCCAAAGTCTAAACAACCAATAACACACAACCTGAAATTAATATACTTAACTTAAAATCAGCTATGGATAAATAGTAGGACAGACTGGGTTCTATAGCCTTGGGTGGTAACCAGTCTAGGAGAAAGAAAACTCTGAATTCAAGACTGTATGTAGCCATGGCGAAGCACATACTATGCAGCTAAAGAAAGGATCATTTGCATTGACTTGATGATCCTGACTACGGTCGACTCCTTTAAAAATCAGATATGAACCTTTAGAATCAGTTAGATATACAAATAAAACATTTGCCTTTAAATAAAGACACTGGTAGAAATCGGTTTCCTGCTTCCTCCCTCCCATAAACCCACAGCAGTTGAAATGTAGAACCAACACAAAGAGAAGTAACATATAATGTGATGATCACCTAAGACATAGAACTGGTAGTTACCATTCAGTTTTGATGTGTGTGATGAAAAATATCTGACAAAGAAAAAATATTTTTACTACTTAATAAATATTATTTGACCAGTAGACAAAATAGGGGCACAATGAGAAATATGCTTAAAGTCACTGTTTACATTATTCAGACTATTGTTCTCATCTTTGTCGCCATATTTATTACAACATTTTGGTCATTGTACGTTCCGGCCTTCTTTAGGTGGTTGGAATGTCGAACTGGTGATAAAAAGTAAGAGAGATAGAGAGATGTTGGGGTCTGATTTTCACAGAATGTAAATCTAGTAAAAGCTGATGAAGAAATTTGACAAAGGAAGATTATTATAATTTATTATACTAGAAAAACCTGTGAAAATTTCATGATTTTCCTATTTGAATTTTATGATGAATCTTAATTCTTCAGTTAATGATTGAATAAGTTCCTAGAAAATTCTATGACAATAAAATATCCATAGAAATTCCTCTATCACATCATTAAATATTTAACAAAATATTGCTATAACAATCATAAATATGAATGTTGGTTGTTATTTTAAGAAGTAAGGGGGGTACAAATGAAAAAAAATTGAAATTGATAACTTTTTCCATTTGACTGAAACAGCTGTTAAACATTTATCTTTCCTTTCTTTCATTAATTTTCTCACTGAAACCAAGTAGCGTATATCTTTTGTTTTTCTATGCAATCAAAGCAGAATAGTCCATTATTTATGAGGTATTGGCAGGGAGTAGTGGTCATGCTAACTAACAAAGGAAGTTACAAGCATAATTATACAAGGATGATATTAGGCCAGTAGACAAAATAAAGGAAAATGGGAAAAGATAAAGTTGAAATTTTTGGACATGCCTGTGTTCTTTCTCAATAAAAAATAAATTCAATATGAAATTTTTTTTTTTTTTTAAATTTTTTAAGTGTAACAGGCCAGGGGAGGAGAGAAATTTCATATAAAGAGAAAACTGCTTTTTGCTCAACTCCCAACTTTGCCTCACCAATGATGGACTTTTTGCTGATTCTGTCATGTTGTTTTTTGATTAAGCAAAATCTTTGGTGACTTATTACCATGATTTACCAATTTCAGTGCAACAACCATCCACTAATCCCAACTATCATTTCAAATTTAGCTATCATTGTTTCTAGGAACAATATCCTTTTTGTAGACCAAAACAACAGAAAGTCAATTTTGTGATGTCATCAACAAAGTTCTTTCCTCGAGGTTAACAATTTGAGAAACCAAAAGAATACTAAAAACAATTATTGCAAGCTTAAATTCAGAACATATTTAAACTGGTTTATTAAAACAAAAATATGATAAATTGAATAAAATCATTACAAATTTAATTTTTAATTACGAGTTATAATTTCTAAAATCTTGTTTGTTTGTTGTTGTTTTTTTGGGTGGGGGAGCCTATGTCTATAAATAGAGTAAAAACTAAAGCTTAAAATATAAAATAAACTGGGAGCTCAATGCCAAAGCCAACAGAGCCTAAGTATAATAATACTCTATCAATATCAAATCTGTTACTTATGTTTGCCTTGTGACTAATAAAACAATATTTTGATTGTGCATTGTCTACCAATTCAACATATCTGTGTCTATCTTCATATAAAATTTTATTCACAGCATATTTTGTCTTTATTTTCAGGATCCTGATAAAGCACCTCATCCAAAAGAACTTTTGTCAAATCACATGGCTCGTTGGAAAAAAGTCAGGAATAGGTAAGTTTTATTTTTTTTTTTTTTAATTGAGTTCACCCCAAGTAAGGCAGTAAAGCCACTAAGACACAAGGGGTTACTGAGTATGGAATAATTAGAAACAGAAACATTACAAAGGAACAGGAAGAAGAAAAAGTAGTCATGAGGACATTAGATAGTGATTGACATTGCATTTAAATTTTTAAAGATTAAAGTTGACTGGAAAACATGGAGCTAGAAGGGAGTACCACAAGTGAGAAATGTGAGAAAAGAAACTGTTTGCATAGAATTTACAGTTACATCTAGCTGCCAATTCAACTGTAAGTTGAGGAGACCTCATAGCCAATCTAGTACTGCACTTAAATTCATAAAGTCTAGGTACTATAGCGAAGAGCACATTCAAACAATTAACATGAAAGTTTTATTCTCTTTCAAAAAGGTCTATAACATTTCTTTATGACTATAAAATAATAAATTTTGATGTTAAACCTTCAGTTACATAATAAAATCTTACATCCCTAAATACATTATCATACTTATTATAAAACCCAGGTTATGTGTGTGTGTGTCTGTTCGTTTATATATTGGATCGAATTTCCTACATTTTTCAACCGATTTCAACAAAACTTCACAGGACTACGTAAAATTACCTTGCGGTGGTTCTGACAGCGGCAAAAATTGGTAAAACACAATTGTTTTTGCACAAAATCAATTTGAAAACACGATTAAGAGGCACCGCGAGAATGAAAGGAGACAACTCATATCGAGTTATACTTATTATAAAACCCAGGTTTGTGTGTGTGTGTGTGTGTTCCTTTATATATGGGATCGGATTTCCTACATTTTTCAACCGATTTCAACAAAACTTCACTTTTTTTTTTTTTTTGGCAGGTAGTGTTTCTTATTGTCTTGCACTTTTTTTCTTTATTTTTACATTCAGAATGCTTTAAAAATTCCATTTACAAGACAATTGTTTATAATAAAATTCTATTCAATCGGTAGACTCATAACGATTGAAAACAATGTTTTTCTTTTTGGGTTTGACCAATTCATAAAAAAAAAAAAAAGCAAAAAAAAACTAATTAAGACATGCGTGTCCGTCAACCTTAAACAATAATCTTTGTCAATTTAATTTTTCAGTCTTTATGATGGTCGATACTTGATCTATCTCTTACTGTTTGTCATACCTGACGTACCTATTCTATTATTAATAGACTCTCCCACACATAATTGTTTATTTAACGGTGAAGTTGAGGCTGACCAGTTTCTTTCGTTTTTAAATGGTATCCATCCGGCACTGAGGTTCACTATTGAAAAAGAGTCCAATCATCAATTGGCCTTTTTGGATGTATTAGTACATCGCACATTAACAGGTTTTCTCACTTCCATATATAGAAAACCTACTTTCGCATGGTTGTACACATGTTGGGACTCTTTTTGTCCCACTAAGCGCAAGATTAACATTATTAAAACCCTCCTACATAGAGCATTAAAGATCTGCTCTGAGCCTTTCTTGAACGACGGAATTGACTTTATTAAGGATACCCTATGTAATTTGGGTTATCCTCTTGATACTGTTAATTCAGTTATCCATAGTAAAGTTAAAGAGTTCAGAAGTGCCGAGCTCTACACTGTCAAAAAATGCCCAGTTTACCTCAGATTACCCTGGATTGGTAACAAATGTGAAAAAATAGCTAAACAAATTTCATCCAATGTTCGTTGTTGTTTTTTCTCTGCTGAAGTTCGGATTATTTTTCAAACTTGGCCTATGTTTCGATCTGAGTGTAAAGACGTTCTCCCTCCCCATCAAATTAATTCAATTATTTACAAATACGTTTGTAGTTGCGGAGCCGACTACATAAGGAGAACAACTCAACCCTTAGACATGAGAATAAAACAACACGTTCCTACAAAAATTAGAAATCACACCCTGCCTTTGAATGGACTCCTCCCGAACACCTATAGTTCCGCCATATGCGAACACCTATTAAAGAACAGAGATTGTGCAGCCAAATTTAGTGTTGACTGGTTCACCGTGTTGTCCCGGTCTCACTCCTTATTTCATCTGAAGGTTCTGGAGGCACTTTACATCGGGTCCCGCAAGCCTTCTTTGTGCAAACAACGTGAGTGTTTGTTGGGACTCGTTGTCATTTGTCTCTAGTTCCTTTCGCATTTTTTTTTACAATTCCTTTTATTGTACATTTTTCTTTGTTAATTTTAAATCTCCCGTTGAAGCCTGAAGAGCGGGAGCGAAACCGGTTGCTTTACCCGTTTTTTTTTTTTTTTTTAATATGTCTCGTAATATTAAATTTTACACTTTCGAGATATATATATTATATAACAGAATTTCTTACAAAAAATATATCCTCTTCCTAATATATCTCTTCCTTTAATTAATTGATCAGTTTGTGCTATTACCCAAGTGTTCTGAAGATTACATTGAAATCACTCCCTATGTCCATTCTACCTATATCAATAAATGCTCTGTCTCTGATATTGAGCACTTTTCCTGTATAAATATAATAAATTGTGACATACATGGACATATGCATATATATTCTCATATTGAACATAATTTTCATTTGCTTAATCTATAAAACAAAGTATATATCCTTTTGCATTTGTATTGCTCTTTCTGATAACATTCTGAGTATAAATATCACATTCCTTGTTCCAGTGTCTTTAAAGAACATGCACTGTTCTTATCCTATTTCTGGTTTGATTCTGCTTCATGCTCTATTCATCAAGATTCAGATGATAAGTTTTCTTACCTGGTTCATTACACTGGTTATCTGGTGGAGTTCACATTTGTTTGCACCTGACTTCTCTTAATATGGATCTACTTAGGTTTTTCCAGTACATCGCTACTGCTGTATATTTCATTTATTAAGTCTGTAATCTTGTCAATGCTGAAATCATCTCAGGCTGTTAGTATCTCTATTATGATTTTGTCTGGTCCCACTTCTTTGTTTCTCCTGAATTTGGCCATTTCTGATTCCACTTCAGATTTCAATATTTCTGGTCTTTCATTATTTTTATGTACTCTCAGTTGTTCTCTCTTGTTGTGGAAGAGTTCTCTGATATATTTTAACACTGACCATGTATTTATCCTTGACATTCGGCTTCACCTGTGAATATACTGAAAATTTGTCATGAATTCTACCAAAAGATAACTTAAACACAAAAAACATTTTCGCTGAGAGTTGGTACTTGCATAATCTAAAATTTTCTTTCACATTTTGACACAAAAAATTGAATATCTAACTTTAAAAAAATGTACATGTAATTTTTCATTGCAATTCTGAAATTTCTCCAATAAGGGATTTTTCTATTAAATGCAGATGTTTTAGAAATTTTAAAATGTCAAGTTTAATATCATTTTTAAGTGTTAACATTAGAAAGGTCTTGTGGTCATAACAGTTCATGGGTTACTGTGCATAAATAAACATTATTTTCACTATGTTTTAAATAAAAAAAAAAAAAAATAAGTATTATTTTTACAAAATTAATCCAGTTATTCATTAACTTAATTATTTTATTCTGAAACAAAAGACAAATACTGAATTTTTAAGAGATTTTTAAATTTGTGATTTTTATTTGTTCTCAGATACGAAGTAAATGATCCTGGCAATGTTTTAAAAATGTCTAAAAAAAATTAAAGCTTTATTTAAATACATAAATTTTTTTTTTTTTTACAAATTAGCTTTAGGTTGTTATCTTTTAAATAAATTCAATATTTAACTTCAAAGGAGACATTTAAATTATTCAAAATGCATTTTAAATATTTTTTCAGTAAGTTTGTAGCAATACTTTATAAATAACCATTAAAAGTTCTATTTTATTTTTTAATGGACAAACAAGAATTAACAAAATTAAAAGAACAAAAAATATACAGTTTCTTTTTTATTTTATTATTTCAGTTATTTTATAAGAAAATCAGAATAACTGAGGCAATGATAATTTGAACAAAATAAAATATTGTTTTATTTTGTCCAAACTGTCAGCTTGAATTTATTTTAAAAATAAAAAATTGCTTTATACAGTTTTAAATTGCATCATTAAATAAAATATATAAAAAGATGTAAACTAATATCCATCAATGAAACAAGTTTGATTTAAAATTCAGCTGGAGATGTTCATTCACTCAGGCAGCAATACAAATTTCAGTGCATCCGACCTGACCGTTTTGCATAAATTGAGTACAGTATACCCTCTTTTTGATTCATGTGTACCTCAAATTGTGTGGTGGCAGAGATATGAAAACAACTGATTATTAAAAATGAGATATTGCTCTACGAGGAGGTGCAAATTTCGTTGTTTTAAGTGTTGAATTTCTCTGGTATTTCATTTACTAAATTTTCAACTTAGAAATGTTTTGTGAAAGACAACTTCAAACCTTATAGTTCACCCACCAAATTGATAAGCATCCTTTTTTTCTTTGATGAGAGTATTTTGTTATGTACAAATAGACACAACTCAAAGCGTAACTAATTTGAAAAACACCACTATGAAATTGTCAACTTTGAAAATACAAAAAATCAGTTGTTCATCATTGAAAGAGTGACATAATTTAAAGAGACTTGGAATAAAATCTAATCATCACACATGAAAAAGAATTGTATCTTTAGAAAGAGGAAAAATCAAATTTTGTTTATAGACTAATTTTATGAAAATTGAGATACATATTAGTCTTTTTGTCTGTACAAAATGTTGATTAGTTTTCTATCATCCAATAGAATATGCATCAATCTGGTAAAGTCAGCAAATGGTTATGTTGATCTGGTTAAAAACAAACAAATACTTGCTGAAATTGTTCAGAGAAAGTTTAACTTTTTTAATGGGTAATTTATTAGTAATTTTTGAATTTGAAAATTCTTTGCTGCAGTATGGTTTCAAATGTATTTGAATAAATTTACAACATTTCTAAATTTCATATGAAGAAAGATGAAGTTACTTTTTTCTAGATTTTGTAAGCATTAGCTCAGTAGTTTTGTATGACATTTTCTTTTCTTTTTTTAATCCTCATCTTGTTCAGATGGAGAGAAACGTCTCGTCAGAATGAGTTGCGTTACAGCCCAAGTCTCATTATTTTGAAGGAAATGTTTGACAGCCAATGCAAGGACTCCTAGCTGACGCCAGTTTTAAAAACTTTTATTTTGAAACATTTATGACACAAGGTACTGGTAATAAGGTAATTTTTGTTCATTTATTCCTTTGTTATCATATTATAATTCTGCTTACACTTTAGTTTGTTAGCCATGTACTTTGCACTCTGCCATAAATGATGGACTATTTAGTTTTGATCATGAAGGAAAACAGAAAAGTCATGTCAGATGCTGTTTGGTTTCAGTGAGAAAAAGAAAAAAAAAAAGGAAAACAGGAGGCAATAATATTCTGGTGCATTTAACGTCTGCTTCAGTGAAAGGGAAAAACTGGCAAATTTTAAATCTTTTCATTTGTACATAATGACTTTCATTCATACTTATGATTGTTTTTTGCCATATTTGGTTAAAGTTGTTAGGCTCAAATATTTAACAATGCAATAGAGAAAACTCCATGGGTAGTTTGTAGCCATGGAACTTGCAAGAAACTTATTCAATTATTAATTATTATGATACGAGAAAATTTACACAGGAAAACTGTGAAATTTTCATGTATACTCCTAGTTATTATTGACAAATTAGTTAATTGCATGATTTAATCCCTGACAGTTTTGATCTTTGATCTTTTCTATAAAGAAATTATACTTAAATGTTAACAAGATTCTGTCTAACTTACTGCCTTTTCATATTTCTTGGTGTAATAAACTGTAGTCAGTCTTATTAGGCTTTAAAAACAATGAATTTATACTTGGCTTTTAAGATTGAAATTTAATTAATCATTAAATCTAGTTTATTATCAGTACAATTAAAGGGTTTAATTAAGGTAAATTCATGGGAGAAATTAACTAAGTAGTACAAAAGTTATATATTTTTTTTATCAAGTAAAATCAATATCAAGGCTGATCTGTCATAAACTCTTAATATACATAATCTAGCAATAGTAGAGTACCTAGTGTTGAAAATCATCAGGACTTTAAAAACACCTGATCAGCTTCTATTCAGCCATGTTGTACTCTTTTCAACTTAGAAAAAAGTACTTTATCCTTTGTGTATCCATAAATATGATACCTTTAGAAAGTATCATAATGTTTACAAGTTTTACTGATTTTTGTGAGTAGAGCAAAAATAATAACTGTTTCAATTGGTTTGACTGCTTAGAAGGGAATCAACTGGAAAAACACATTTTATATTCATTTACAACATATGTTATTTTAATAAGATAGTGGTCAAAATATGCTAATAAATGCTTTAATTTAATTGGAAAAAATTGGTTGATATACTGCAGAAGGCTTACTCCACACATGATGTTATAAAGATTAGATCACTAAACCATTCCCTACATATTCATAACTCAACTACTTTTTGTTTCAGGTGTGTCTTCTCTGCTGGCTGGAAAACTTGACAGACAACAATAGTTGGCAGTGAATGTTTTATATTGGTTCATTTTTCACTGGCATTATCAGTGGGCAGAGATTTTATTAAAAATAATAGTGTTATCTTTTGCTTGTGGATATGGGCTTATCACTAAATTATCCATACAAGCATTTGCCTCTTCATATTTGCTACTGTTGTTTTATTTCTGAAAGTTTGATTTATTTTTATGAATTTCTATGACAGATAAGAAGTGAAGTTTTTCTCTTCTTCATTTCTCCTTAAAGCCAATTCAGAACCTATGACAAAAAGAGGATCATTATTATAATACTCCTTAAGGAGTAGACATTATCTTAATTGTTTGGTCAATAGAAGCATGTCTAATTGATATCAGTGACTATGAATGGGTATTATGGAATTTGAAAGGTGAAAAACTTTATGAATTTTTAAAAGATACTTGTCAATGTCTGTTTTTTTTTTTTTTTTTTTTTTTTTTTTATTCCTCAGCAATATGGTAGAAACTTATTTTGAAATGTAAGAAATGACTAATTTTTTTATTATTCTCTGTTATCTGTCAAGCACACATACTATTCTGATTAATGGTTATTTTGTCCTGTACTTCAATTTTGTTATCAGTCTATGACTATCTTAGAAAACATCCATTTTTTGATTCCACTCTTACAGAAAAAATTAAAATCTTTTCTACCATGTTGGATTAAAAGACTTAATTCTATTGAAAGATTTTACAAGATATCAAATGTAGAGTAAATATATAAACTGTTTCATCTCCAATTGGAAAAGACATTAAATATTTTTATTGTGTCCTGTTTTTTGATGTGTTATACATCATCTCTTTTTTTTGTCTTCATTGTCTTTACTGACGCCAGCTGTTTATTCTGCACAGAATAAACTTGATTGTTTTTTACACATGTTTGTTTTTATGTGTCGAGTATATCTTGCTGGCAATTTCAAGAGATGATATTAATAAAATTTATTTTTAAATTATTTACTCTTTTGTACACGGTTCAAAATTGGAAGTTTTCTCATATAGGCAATTTTTTATTTAGTTAAATTTGAAACATTGTTAAATATATTAAGATTTGAATTTGAGAAGCTCTAGAGTTTTTTCGTATTGTTGTTTTAGTTGCTGTAATAATTGATGTTCTTATGTCCTGTATTTGTCCACTTTCATTAATTGGGAAAAGAGCATTTTATTTGTGAAAATATACAAGATTGCTCCAAGACCAAGTACCTATTCAATTAATGACCTTGCTTCTCTCCCCCCACCCCACCTCCAAATTCCTCAACCTGTTCAGAATTCTACTTTTTTTTCTTTTTTCTTAACCAAATTTAATGATTTTGTCAAGAATATCTCTAAGGGGAAACCAGAGAAATATTTCATTGTTTCTCCATATCGCAAAAATTCAATTTCATTACACTACAAAAAAACTTCAAATAGCTGCACTAGCCAAACATATAGCTAAAATATAAAAAATTTCCATACATTTTTTTTGGCAGCATTTGCAAAAGATAAAGTAATGGCTATTCTCAGTGAATGGCATATTACCTGTAATATCCTCATTTTTTTCTGTTGACTTTTATTTTAGCTAAGTATTTAATATTTCTTTAATCAAGCATCAAATGTCTAAGGCTTAATATTAAAGCTTAAATACTTTTTTATGCTCCATTTTTTGTTAAAATTCTCTTGGTTAAAATCTCTACATATTTTTTCATTTATTGTCTCTGGTATTTGAAATATTTTGCAAAATGTTGTCAAATTACTTTGCCACATGTTTTCCCCACTGTAAGTTGGTTTAATCAAAATGCTTTTTTATTTACAAATCTAAATTGATTGATACAATTTGTAAGCACTTTTAGTAGTCTATTATATGCGTTGTTAAAAGGACCAACATGTCCATCTTGGTTGTTATACAACTTTTCAGTACTTGTATCGTCTGGCTTCCTTCGGGAGCATATCTTTCCATTTTCCATACTTAGACGATATTTCATGACAATCAATACTCAACAGTTTTATTTACTTTACTGTTGCTTGATTTTTCAGCAAGAATTGAACTCACAACTGTTAGAGACTTCAATATGATTTAACCAACATGTTAATTCTCTTGCACAATCTAGTGGTGAAATTCTGAAGCCTTACACCTCCATATGTCGGTACTCAGATGGTGAAAACCTTGAGTATCTCTTCTTTCTTAAAATCAAAGCAGCTCTCAGATGCACTATTCACATCTCTGTTTGTTCTACTGTGGAGGAATTTGCCACACATGTGTTGCTGATTTGATTGTCTTATTCTTCAGTGTTATTCGCTATCTTTTATCTTGACTTCATTCCACAAAAGTTAATGACAACTCTTTTTCCCTCCATTTATGATCAACTATGCTTAATTTCATTGTCTCTTTCCAGATAGTTGCATTTTCAATCATCCTACAACCTTACTTTTAGGTAGTGGCTAAAGTAGGGACATCAAAAAGCAGGTGCTTAGGAAGAGACATTGAAATCAGGTATTTGCAATCTCATGAACCAACAATGAGGCGCAGAATCGGACAATTTGAAAACTGTAGTTAGCTTCTTAAATATTTTTTCTCTTTTTGAAAGGATTTAATTAAAAGCTATATTAAAAAATTGCACAAAAGATAAAAATAGTATGCTAGAACTTGAATAAACATCCTCTTTAAGATCCTAACAATTAATTTTTAATTATAATTTCTAAATTAAGACAAATGTATTGTTGGTTCATAATTATTAAATTCGAGGGTTGAATCTAATTTGGTTACATACACTTTTATTTCTTGCCAAGGATGATAATCTTCAAAATGCTTTTGTCTTTTTAATGACTAAAAAAAAATTCAGGATTGTTTATGATTATGTGAAACAATTTCATTCTGGCTTCAATTTTGTAAATTTATTTCTTGGCCTACTATTTAAAAACCAAAGATATGCTTTGAATGTTTTTTTTTTTTTTTAATAAATAATTCTAAAGCATCTGTTTGATGGTTGATTTTCCTTCATTTTTCTTTATTGTTTGTTTTTATTTTTTAAATTATTTATTTCTGCTTTAAATTTAGAATTTGTAATTTTGCTTTAAAAAGTTATCACATAATAATGATGAAAATTGTAAATATTAAATAGAAATTAATATCTAAAAATCTAATATATTTTTTTTAATATTTAGATTATTTTCAGAACATTTACTTAAAGGAACACTGAAATATTAACAAAATTAAACTTTGTGTTTATTTCTCGATAATTTGATTATATAAAAATGTTTCTCAGGCTTCTGTCATTTTCTTTTTTTGCTTGTTTATTAGTTCTTCTTTCATCTTTATTTTGGTTGCTTCTTATTGCAACTTTTAGTCATCATTCTGTGGCTGTCAGTAAGCAACACAAATTGAAAATAATGAATAAGCCTCTGTCAAGATTTGAACTCTCTTCCTTTTTTTTTTTTTTTCAACATGAGGCCCATCTTGAGAGGCACTCAGAATTAACATCATCCTTTCATTCCAGGGAAGATAGAACATTAGTTTACAATGAACAATTAAGTGTTTTGGGACCATTCTGGAACAATAGTAAATTTTAAATTAAAACCCAATTATATAAAAGCAACTAATTTCTTAAAATATTCTTCTCCCTAATGGGGGCAAGCTTTTAATAAATGGTACACACAAAATAAACAAGACTTAAGTATTTCTTTTTATAATCTTGAATAAAAATTGAAGAGGTTAGATTTAGATGTTTACCTTTTAAAAGTGAAAAATTGCAAGAAGAATTTTTTCTCATTTTTTGTTTAAAGATACTTGTGTGAAACAAGCAAGTGTCTTATGTTTCCTGTGTATCAAACTAAATTCAAATTACAAGGGAAAATTAAAAAAATGATAAACAAAAACTTTAGTCATTACATGAGGCAGATGAAAACTTAGATAAGAATTTAAAAACTTTATATCATTAACAGTTGGAATTTCTTTATGTAGAAAATGAATACATTTAATATTTTAGCTTTTTTAAAATTTTTGTTACAACCAAATATGACTTGCATTACAAATAAATAAATAAATGATTAAAGATTGAAGGGATCAAAATAAATATTTATTTTCTAAATATTTTAATGCTGTTTTTATTATGCTATGTCAAGAAAATCCCCAATCCCCCAAACGAACAGACTGGTCAGGTTAAGGAAAAAAGCAATATCACCTACATTAAGTTGCAATATAGATTAACATTTTCTGTAATGTTTCTGTTATGGTCCAGGTTAGGACCAAGGAAGAACAACACAAACACAAGAGTAGAAATAATGAAGGTATATTACATGAAATGATAATACAAGATGTGGAAGGTGTTAGTATGACTGTCAGCCTGGTTTGGAGTGAACTACTATCGGCTGGGCTCGATTCGTCTCTCTCTCTCTTGAGAGGCATAGTATACATAGTGTTAGGAAGAGTTCATTCTGTAGTTATAGGTAAGGACCCATGACAGTTTCACAGTCTGATAACTTGATAATGTGGAAGATAATTTTTTGTTTAAAAAAAAAACAAGAGAGATTTCCTCTCCTTTCATACAACTTCAGGGATCACATGGTAACCCTGTCATGTGACCACTGTAACTATAAAATATTAATAAAAGTAATAATAAGCTTTTGTTTGGTAAGGATTTCAACAACACAAGGTAAGTACTCTGCTCTCTTCCTACCTGACCAACAGTCAGTTTCTCCACAATATCTCTAATTTGTATTTAGTTACTTTTTCTTTATTTTCTATTTATCTAATTGACTTGCTCACCTGTATTGCATATGACTCATTATTGTACATAATTAGGGTACAATAAAATTTGTATTTTATATGAATACTACCTTATGAAAATTGAGATCAAGGAAAGTGTGGTGTCATATAGATTCAGTGGGAGTGCACAAGACAACTTGCACCAACATTGGCCATAAGACAAGTATCTGAATTTTCACTGGATTTATTCAACCCATACAGTGAGGCGACCCTGATAGATCTAGAAGTCTTTGGTTTTTCCTCTTCCATACTTTTTGTATTCTTTCAGTTAATAGCTAGTTCATTTTTTTCTTGCTTTCTTTTACTACCCTGGTTGGGTGGGGGGTAGTACTGTAATTTTCTTTCTAAGTCAGTCATCAGCACAGTGTTGTCTGCATACAGCCTGTATTACTTGCATTAAAAGCAAACAATTACAGATTAAATGGATAAGTATTTCCTAAATATCTTAGCAGTATCTTTAATGTGCTACTGACAACTATGAATGATAAAGTTTATTTTGAGGCTATTTAACATTTTTGAGGGGACAATTAAAGTTGTTTTTTAGGATGGTTCCAAGATAATAGTGAAAAAAATGTTAGTCTGGTGTCCTGTTCTCTTAACACAATAACAACTGCTTTACTCATTAGAACACGGCGCTTTCTAGCTGTTCTCCTTCGAATTGAAATATATAACCATTGTTTATCTCCCATGACTGCCCAATAGATCTCCATTTTTCTTTACATACACGTTTGTTATTATTATTGTTAGTAGTAGTAGCAGCAATTATTTTTATCCACTTTGCTTACTAATACCTCAGAGTTGAACATCCCTATCTTGTATAATTCATTACCCCTTTGAATATTAAAGGAGACAAGCATGTAAATGAGGCAGTGACTCATTTTGAGTCATAAGAATACATGAAATATTGTTTACTTTGAAGTATTGAGAAAGTTAAGAATTCTAAGTGAAAAAGTAAAAATACTAAGTGGAAAAAAAGTATGGAAGATTAGTTGACCAGATTAGAACCTGATGAAAGAAGGTTCAGTTTAGGAATATTAACCAGGACCTATAAAATGTTTGAGGAAGACATTTGTAAAATTTGAACCCAAAATAAACTTAGTAAGATTTAGTAAATTCAGTACAACTGAATTTTCCCTACCCCACTTCTCAAACCCAAGGGTGTTGCAGTGACAAAAGTCTGCAAAACCTGGCCATGATGATGAAATGCTTATTTGTGGATAATTCCCCCAGACAAATATCTATATAATCCAGAGTCTTCAATCACTTAGTTGGCATCCAAGTATTGAATGTTGCATCCAGAAAGAACACTGTCTTTTTATTCTCCAAGACACACCCAAACATCTCACCTAGCAGTTAGCCTTTCTCAAGATCTTAGGAATTGACTGGAGTGAATGTGACTTTTGACAGCCTATGGTATTAAATTGTTGGCAGTTTTTTTTTACATTGGTGTTTATTCTTTCCTATAATTTTTCTGTCTTTCAAGATTCTTCAGATTTGACAAAACTACAGCCTGAGAGAATGACTAGATAATCACATCCTAGCAATCAAGATGAAGATGAAAGTTTCAACTGATGGATGTACACTGACAAAAAAAAATAAAATTGCAACACTCTAAATATGTTTCAATTTACTCAAGATTAAATTTACAGGTAATATAGTTGGCTTCTAGCAAATGATCATTTCTGCTGATCAATACAGGCTCAGCATTCCAAAATAAGAGATGCATTATCAATACTCAGATCCCATATTAATGCAATGTATAAACTCCTTGGGTTTTAACACATTGATTGCTTTTTTATGGTTTATCAACCCTTTCCAGGTTATTTAATGGTAGAAAATATTTTTAGAGTGTAAGAAATTTTTCTGAGATAATAATTTAGCAATACAAGTCTTACTAATTAACCCATAGCTGGAAGAAGAAGAGGTGGATTGATACTTTTTCTAAGTGTATTTGCCCATAAGTGAATATAATGAACCCAATGAGAATTGGGACTCAGCTCTCTGATTAAAAATTCCAGGCCATTATTTATTACACTACCTACACATACGAGCTTACACCACTTGGTATTCCCAAGCGGTCACCCATCTAGCTACTAACCAAGCTCGATGTTGCTTAACTCCAGTGATCTTATGTGAACCAGTGTTTTAATACAGGCCTGTATTCATGCATGCATAGGATTATGCTCTATTTACATTATTTGGACTATTCTCATCTCTGTTGCCATATTTATTACATTTCGGCCGTTGTACACTCCGGCCTTTTTCAGGTGGTTGGAATGTCACTGGATCTAACTAACACCTTTATCCACTGTGCCATGTGGATAAAGTCGTTAGTTAGATCCAGTGACAGGACCCAAAGAGTGTGAGTTCAATACCCAGTTAAGGCAGTGGAGAACTTGGAGAAGGGAATTAACAGGAGATAACTGACATGCATTAAAACATGGCATGTGGAACTAGAACAGTCTACCCCAGTGAGCGAAATAAAGGGTTCAGTTCGACATTTCAACCATCTGTAAAAAGGCCGGAGCGTACAGCGGCCGAAACGTTGTAATAAATATGGCGACAAAGATGAGGACAATAATGTACATAATACCTCATCTCAGAAATATAGGCAGACACTGATAGGGTTATACGTATGGTGAATGCCTTCCCGTGGTGTATTATACAACATCTCTTGTATTTGTTGATACAGTGTAACAAAAGTTGTAGATGGATTAATTCAACAATCAGGAGTTGTTCCATCATTTGTCCCATACATGTTCAATGAAAAACAGGTTTGGGGATCATGCAAGCCAGAAAAATTGTCAAACAAGATACAAGGAATGTTGAGCCCTACTGAAACAACATATCATTTTCTTGTTATATAAATGGCAGAAGGTATTTTCTTTTCTTTAATCCCATTCTCTCTCTCTCTCTCTCTCTCTCTCTCAACTAATGAGAAAGCAACCCTCAAATAAAAAGGAAGAAAAGACTGAACAACTGTTGCAAAACGGAGGTTCGCTGATTCAGGGTCTAGTTATCTTATCTTATCTTACTTATTATAAAACGCAGGTTGTGTGTATCTGTAACGTTTATATGTTGGATCGAATTTCCTATATTTTTTAGCCGATTTCAACAAAACTTCACAGGACTACATAAAATTACCTTTTGGTGGTTCTAACGGGGCCGAAAATGGGAAAAACACAGTTGTTTTTTAAGAAAATCAATTTGAAAACACGATTAAAAAGACACATCGTGAGAATGAAAGGGGGACAACTCACCCACGAAAATGTAAACAAAAGAGCATAGCATAATGAAAAAGACGCCGAACTTGAAAACAAAATTTTATCGTCTAATGTTCATATTATTATTAAAGAGGAAAGATCAAAATATTTTGGGGGTATTTTTTTACATTTTTTAATCGTTCCTGCGCACGTCTGAAATTTTCGTTAAAAATATTGTTTTTTTTTTTTGGTCAAAAAAAAGGACAGATAATCATTTTCAATCATTTTTTTCGATTTGATAAAAAAGATTAAAATCTTACTTTGATATTCTTTTAAAAATCAATTATCATTTTTTCAAAACTGATTTTAATAAAAACAGATATACTGTTTATTTAAAATATTTTAAACCAAGCTTAACTTAGCTTCTGCGCCGAAAAAATGTAATTTGAAAATAAAACAAAGCATGTCATAACCTTTCGCGTCGCTTGACGATTGACGAAAGACACATTCATGACGTTTAGATAACTTACGGGAGGGTAATTCTTTCTACGGATGGAAGGAAGTGAAATTATTTAAGTGAACAAATTATTTACCTCGTTACTTTTAAGGAAAACTTTCAGCGCTCTAATTTTTTATTTTTTATTTTTTTGTACTTAGCTTTCAATTTTTACGTTTACGATGCTTTATGGAAAATATAAAGAAATTAAAAAATAAGACTGTTAATAGTGAGATTAAATTTCATAAGAAAAAGGTATCTAATTAATTTAGGTACCTTTCTTATGAAATTTTATCAGAAGTGTACACAAAATACTATAATTTTATGTACATTTGTTACATTTTACTGTGTTATTTGTATTTCCATTCATTTTATTATTAATTTTGATATTTCATTTATGGAAAAATGTCATAACTTGAGATTAATATAAAAATAAGATCATATAAATTAAAGTTTAGCAGTAGTTAAATTTCATAAGATGATACTGTTACTTGTAGGTACCCTTCTCAGTTGAAATTGAAAACTCAAATTAACTTCTCCATACGTGTTTCGCAAAAGTAAAGGGCTTAACAGCGGAGAACAATGCTGAACTCAAATAATGCAACTAAATTGTATTCTGGATTTGGTCTTCCGTACTTGATAATTACTGTCCGCCTATAAACACAAAAAATTACATTTTTCTTAATTACCATGGCTAATCTGATTGGTCCAAATTATACAATTTTTAAAGCGCTAGACAATGACAATCTCATATGGACATTTTGAAAGGTTGATGTTGCATTTAACTAATGTTAAAATATTTTTTTAAAATTCAATTTAAACATTTTTTAAAAATCTTTTTAAAATTAAAGAAATAAGAAATAATTGTATTAAAATTCAATTTTCATTGAAAAATTTTTTGCTTCCAGAAAATATTGTCATATTCATAAAACAAATTAAAACAAATAAAAGCATTTGAAACTAAATAATATATTTGTTTTATTGAGTTTTGTATGTTACAATTCACAGCTGATTTTCAGGTACGTTGGCCAAAAAAAACAAAAAAAAAAAAACATGATTTGCATTCTTCAAAGCCTTGTGCTTTTAACTATTGTAATCACTAAAACCGATGGTCTCGAATTTCTAGAGTTTTTCATACAATTAGTTATGGGGGTGTTAATAAATATAAAAAAAATATTTCTACCATGACTTTAATTAAAAAAACAACATATTTATAATAATTTCGATCATCTGTGAATAGTTTCTGAAAGTTTCATTTACATCTGACAATTATTTTTATTTTTGCAAGATTTTCCAAATTAATGTGTGTAAATACAAAAAACGCGCTAAAAATTATCTGTTATTTACTACCCCTTGTTGCGACAAAGAGAAACAAGGTTTTTTTAAATCAAAATTTAGAATATTCTAAAAAGATGGAAAAAATTTTTAAAATAATTAAAAAGAAATTTAGTCTATCCTCTTCATAAAAACAAGCATTTTGACGATAAAATTTTGTTTTCATAAACTTTAGCGTCTTTTTCATCAGACTATGCTCTATGTTTTAGCGATTCCGTGGAGTGACTTAGGTTAAAAAACCCAGGTTGTTTGTCTGTGTGTGTGTGTGTTCCTTTATATATGGCATCGGATTTCTTACATTTTTCAGCCGATAAAACAAACATCCACTTTTTTTTTTTTTGGCAGGTAGTATTTCTTATTGTCTTGCACACTTTTTTCTTTATTTACATTCAGAATGCTTTAAAAATTCCATTTACAAGACAATAATAAAATTCTATTCACCAATCGATAGACTCATAACGATTGTAAACAATGTTTTTGTTTGAGTTTGGGTTTGACCAATTCGTTAATTTTTCAGTCTTTATGATGGTCGATACTTGATCTATCTCTTACTGTTACATCCCCGGGCAACGCCGGGCTCTACTGCTACTTGTGACTAAAATCTACCAAAATAAGAAAGGCTCCACGCATAACTTGCACTATAAAGAAAAAGAAAGGAACGGTGGTAAATAAATAAAAGAATTTTGGCTAATCAAAAGAACAAAGAGAGTTTTGAGGTTAGTCGAAACCAAGCTTTGCGCCAAGTAGTCTGGACCCGTTCTTAAATGTATATAAAGAGGTAGCAGCAGAGAGGAGTTAGCTAGAGAAACCAGCCGAGCGTGAAGAAATTAAGCAGTGATCTGCTTATGTGCTTTTTCCGCCCTTCGTGAGAACCGAGAAAACATAGCATATGGCGCCCGCAATATGTTTCCAAAGTAACCACACTGATGACTACTACCAAAGACTGGACCATAAACTATCAACTAACTAACCGAACGAATTTTCGCCAACTCGAATTATAAAGGAATCGCTCCAATATATTATTTGTTTATATCTGTAATTTTATTCGTTTATTCTGAAGTTTCTATGATATTGAACCTCTGGCGCTTCTCCACAAATGCCAAGATCAATAAAATGTTGTCACTTATAATATCCCATACCATAAAACTAAGAGTTGAGTCTGTGTGTCATGGGCAAATACACTGGAGTATGGTCGATGTTACATAGCACAAACGACTATCACTTTCATGAAGGCATACATGTTCTTGTCACAACACTACAGAACGCTATTCAATCTTTCACATGTGACTCTCTTGCAATACTAATAGAGACATGCACGATGATTCAGTATTACCGATACTCCAGTGGTCACAAACACACTGATTCGTGCTGTAGATGCTATGCAGTCTTTTACTGCCACTATTACAACCCGCCAATACTGACGATTGTCAGTACTATGGCTATTCAAGACCTAATCTATGAATTTAGGCATACTTATAGTAATCATTGTACCATTATTACTAACATTAACGAGTCACCAATAAGTTATATTTGGTATGCACATCAGTGTTACAATTTTTTAAATGCCCGTCAGTGTTTATTGTGTTGACTAATTTTGGTCAAATAAAAATAATTACACTCTAGCAATACAAGTTAAAAGTAAAACAAGGACACTATTCAGCAGAGACACAGGAGGCACTCTGAACGAAATGTAATAATGACTCTATTATTATTATTATTATTGTTGTTATCATCATCATCATCATCGTCATCATTATTATTATTATTAGTGGTGGTGGTGTGGCCGTAGATGTTGAACTTTCCCGCTAATTACTATTTTTCCGACATCTTTTTCTAACGTGAAAATGCGTAAAAAACGAATGTATGTCACTGAATTCTTCCTTTTTTTTATAGACTATCACTCCGAAGATGACATTTTCAGACAATGAGAATTGATATAAATTAGCAAATAGCTTTAATGGAATCCTCCATATTTGCTACTCACCCCTGCGGAAAAATTCACTTTTCTCCCAAACCAACTTTAACCAATCATTACTTCACTTTTCTAAACTTGACTTCTCATTGGTTAAAAGGACCCAAAAAATGTTTCTAGTTGCGACAAATCTGTTTTCCCGCTCACCTA